TGATCTTCAGTTTACATGCCACGATTTTTAGCTTCCTGCCGCTTTGGTACACTCGTGACTTTGTTTTGTACCTAATTCGAATATATCATCTAATACACCTTAAAATCACATCAAATTCAAATAGGATTGGGATAGGGATGAAATTGACGATGTTTATTCATTTATGCACATGAATTGGCACGACACAAACCTTGATATGAGGGTTAAATAACTAATTTAGGTGTTATCAACTACTCTGCAGGATTTACATGTGTTGCTGACTTCTATTCCGTTTGTTACATTCCATTTTGTGGCTCGTAGGGATAACAAGGCTGCCCATATTGTGGTAATGCAAGCCCTTGGAGCGTTGGTTCGGACACTTGTCGACCAACTTGTTTTCGTTTTTCAATTTTGTAGCATGGCCTAGAGAAATGTTGTATATTTGTCATATACATGTTGCTTCCCTTCGGGGATAAGTAGATAACTATTGAAAAAAAAAATTATGCACACTTGTCTTTTAGCAACATTCAGAACATTATAACGAGAAACCATTCTACGCCGTTTATCATGATAAATCTGTTTTGTGACCAAAAGCATTACTATTACCTAATTCAGTTTCCTACATCAACAATTTGTTATAATTTAATATTTAGATAATTTACGAAACCAATCACATTGTAACACCCTTATGTTAATAAAACCATATTACCTTAATTCTTTTTTCAAAACTTTTTTTCACGATAATTTAAATTCTCCAAAATGATAGTTTCATTAAATCACAAAAACATACCAGATTACTCATTTATTGTCTAAGCATTAATCTCGTAATTTCTCACTCTTTTTAACATTTCTAATTTATAAAGTGATAAATCAAATCAACGTTAGTTTAAACCAAAAAAATTCGTTAAGGGTTGTCACCATGACAAACTACATCTCCACCTTTCATTTTCGTTCATTCTTAAGCCGACGATCATTATCGTCTGGTGATAGTTTTTGAACAAAGATAATACCAACGTCTAATTAATTCCAAAAAATATGGCTTTCAGTGTCTCTATCTCCAAACACTAAATAATCTTATTCTTCTCTCCCTCTCCCTCTCTCTCTCTATCTCTATCTCTCGTTCTCTCTTCCTCTTCCACGTTTCTGCCGACCACTCTCCTCCGAACATACATGCTCGGTCATGCCTCTGTCTTTCCTGGTACTCCCCCTCCCCACGTCACTCGCCCCGTGCCTTTGACGCTGCTCCTGCTTCCTCACTCCACCACTCACACACTGCTCTCTCAGGCTTTGCCTATGTTTTTGCTTCCTCAAATCCGAATTTGGTGAGTTCTCTATCTTCCATGACGCTCTCTTTTTGTTACTCCCTCTTTATTTCTCTCGGACAAATATATTTTTCAAACTTCATGTATGAGTTTTGTATTCTGGCATTGGTTCGCATTGAACTTCTACTAAACTGGTATTGATTTGTGTTGAATTGTTGTTTGTCAATTTAATCATGTATTGGGTTGCATTGAACGGGTATTAGTTCATCTATACTGGCATTGATTTTGTTTTGAACTGATATTGATGTTTTTGAAGTGGTAGTATTTTTTTTTTATGATTTAGCATTGATCTCTTATTTTTTTTTGTAGTGATATTGATTTGTTTGAATTGATATTGGTTCGTCTGAATGGAGATAGAAAATAATTAAGGAAAAGTGGTCGGAGAAGCAAAAGGATGGCCAAAAAATTATTGAAGTGAGAAAGTGAGATAGAGAGAGACATAAAATATTAATTAATAAGTATTTAAAATTTTCAAAAATGACATGACGTGACGTTTTCTGGGATGCAGAGAACATTTCTTGACCTACCCCTCCCATAATGAATAGTAGTATAAACTTCGAGCATTCCGAAACCATAACCCAGAAATACTGGGCACCATCCCGCCCCTTCCATCCTTATTTTCTGCTCACATGACATGCAACGTTCATAATAACTTAGGACTCAGCACCCACAGGATGAAAGAACCAATAGGCCCCATACACGAGACGATCACAAGCAGCATTCCGGCGTAAATAGACTATTTCTGTCTGGTGGCTGTTTTAACCTTACTTAGATCCGCAAGTTCTTTAATAAGCCTCCTCTCCTCCCTGCTCAACCTCTTTGGAATCTCGACCTGCACCCGGACCAATTGATCCCCTCTCATCTTACTCTTTCATCATTTGGGACACCTTTCTTTGCCATCAACAAGGTAATGTTGGGTTACCTCCCGTCGGGGATCTTCAGATCCATCATCCCATCCATCATGGGGACTGTAATCGTGGCCCCCAATATTGCGTCCACGTACGAGAACTTACACGTGTACGATATGTTTGTCTCGTAGCGCTTTAGGATAGGGTCCGGGATGACCTCGATCATCACAAAAAGGTCTCCCTCTCGGAGATGTCTTCCAGAGTCCACTCCAGTAAGAACTTCCAAGTTGATTCACATCATCTTTCTGACTCGTCTATCACAAAGCAACATTTGCATGGGCTAAATGTTTCCCCAACCCCGCCACACGTGTTGCCCATCATCACTTGTTGGAAAACTCTTATGGGAATTCGAGCTGAAGATATGAATTGTCCTTGTCCGCCACATGTGTTGCATTTTGTTGCTTTTTTTTCGGGCTTGACGCCGAAGCCATTGCACGTGCCACAGCTTCGTTGAATGTTAACCTGAGGTTGTAGTATTAGTCCTTGTCGTGGACTACCCTGTTTCTTGAGCCTCTCCTGCCTCTCATACCGTCAATGTTCATGTTTCCCATGTGTAATAACGACTCGAATAGATCCATGGGTTGTTGAAATCATGTTGTAGAAAATAACATACTTATTTTGTGCTTTCACAAGGAAACTTGAAAGATGAGATTAGAATGAAGAACAACAAAAATGCTATTAGAATGTTGAACCAATTTGGATCATGTACATTATTAGAATGACAAACCAATTTTGCGCTTTCATAACACTTTTGGACAAGAAATTCTAATTATCTGAGGTGTTCTCATTGCAAAACACAGCTTATGTAACTGGATTGAGTGCTACAATGTGGCTATCAAGCCTTAGAATTCAAGGAAGAAGACAAGACTTGGAGAAAAAGGAAGTACGAGCCAAAAAGGGAAAATGTCTAAATTTAAGTTTCTAGGTACTACTTGGCACTTTCCCTAATACGACGTCACTCCAGGTTTTCTTCTTCTCTTCTGCTGGTGAAGCTTCCCTACTCTGTGGTGAAGGTGGTTTGACTTCAGAGAGGCGTGAAAAAACTCTCAGTTTCCCTGATACCCCCCGCAAGTTGGTGGGCACAGATTGAGCACGCCAAGCATGGATAGAGGGTGGAGTAGGTACCAGGGGTAGCAGTTTGGTGAAGAGGTTTGCTAGGTGGTGTGTAGTAGAAACATGAGCACCTTGATTGTGTGATTAAGAAGCTTTTCGCGGACGAAGTGACAATCGAGCTTGATGTGCTTCGTTTGCTCGTGAAAAGTAGGATTTTCAGCAATGTAGATGGCAGACTAGTTGTCGTAGAATAAGGTAGTTGGCTTATAACTGGAGCGATTTCTGAAAATATAATCTTAGGGTTGGTTATATGATTCGTACACCTGCTGGCCAATATGGTCCTTCGACTTCTGCGATGTGGCAAAGCTGAAAATAGATATATGGTTTTTGGTGCTTCTTCGATGAGGTTGGCTTGCTGTTGGGAAGGTGAATCTGATCTCTGCTGCCTCAATCTGCACGCGTACGCTTTCTCAATGTGCCCAATCTTTTTACAAAACTGCACTGCATTTTATTTTTGATCCAACAATCTTTTCTTGATGGTTGGTCTTTTCCAAAAACAATTGACAAATGTCCACCATGAGAAGTTTGTAGAAGGTTACCAAAATACAAGTAATAAAAGAAGCCTATTTGTTCTTCCAATTCTTCTCTCTATCGCAGCTCCTACAACTCTCTCCAATTGTAACATAAACCACTTCCAAATTCCTTTACAACAAAAATTACTTTCCCACTTAAATAAACACATAAAAAATCAACATGATATCAAAGCATACCAAAATTTCAACATGGTATTAAAGCCGTTATTGGTCTTACGATCCAAAAATAGCTTTCGCCAAAATGAAAATTCAAATCCTTCCTTCTTTACGTATAGAAAAAGGAGAGATTTCACCAAAGAGAAGAGGAAAGAGAATAGAAAAGAAGAGCAAAGAAAAGTGTTGAAGAAGCCTTCCAAACAAGACGTCAACAAAAAAAAAAAAGGAGACATACACAAACAAGAAAGCAACCAAAAACACTTAACAAATATCCATCATTTGAAATTTATAGAGGAACACCAAAATACAAATAATAAAAAAAGTCTATTTGTTCTTCCAATTCTTCTCTCTCCACAGCTCCTACTACTCTCTCCCATTGTAAAATAAACTACTTCCAAATGCATTTACAAGAAAAGTTAGTTTCCCAATTACATAAACACATAAAAAAAATGAATTTTACAATGCTATATAGCATTGGTTTTATAGGTTTTTATCTTTATAGTACAACTTTAATTTACTTTTAACGTAATGGTACAACTTCAGATTGTACCTATATTGTTTTGTACAAATTATTTTATGGTACAACTAGAACTTGTACATTTATGTGATGATATAACTTTAAATTGTAAAATTATACCATAACATAATGATACAAATTTCTTTATAGTACAACTTGAACTTATATATTTAATTAACATTATACTACAATTTCAAATTGTACATTAAATCACCTATGCTTTATAGCATAATAAAATTGCTCCATAAAAAATCAAACAACAACTTGCGTTGGGACTTGGGACAAAGACCGAGCAAGCAAACAATGAACGAATAAAGCAATCGAGCAGCATACAGACACCTCGAATGAATAAAGCGAAATGAATTATTGGGTCCTATCTTCGAACTCCAATTTATAAATGTACCTGTATCTGAGCTCGGCTCCATTTTTCATTTGAGTCAAAACCAAGTAGTTAAGTGGGTATGCTAAATACATGGAAATGGAGAGTGACAGTAGTAAGAAGCATTTCGTGTTGGTTCATACAGCCTGCCACGGCGCATGGGTTTGGTACAAGCTGAAACCGCTGCTTGAAGCTGGCGGCGGCCACAAGGTGAGTGCCATCGATCTGGCAGCAAGTGGAGTCGACCAGCGTACTATCGAAGAAATCGGGTCGGTAGAAGAGTACTTGGAGCCCTTGCTGAAGCTGCTGGAATCTCTTCCCGAAGGCGAGAAGGTGATTCTGGTCGGGGAGAGCTGCGGCGGGATTAATATCACCATCGCCGCCGACAAGTTCCCGCAAAGGATTGCGGCCGCCGTCTACGTTAATGCACTCATGCCTGATACCCAGCACAAGCCGTCTTATGTTCTGGATACGGTACATCATCGTTCACTGCAATAATAAAAAGCTCGTATATATACTAACTACTATCAATCGGACAAACCCAGTGAATGCTCAAAGTTTCACTAATTGGGTTCCAAAAGTAAAATATTAATTCTAAATTATGTTTACCTCTTTTCAAACACATACATGTAGTTTAATCTGATTACTCAGACTAAGTAATATGTTCAAAAACCAGATCTATTAGATTGACAGAATCAACGGTTCTCTGTAAACTCAATCCGTACAATTTTCTTCTAATTACTTAACATGGGGTTAATTTGTATCAAATTTGGTTGAAGTAGCTTAATGGATCTGTCAAGATCGACTTAGTTACTCAATGGTAGATCATCAATCCGGACATTTTCATCTGTCTTCATATGAGATAATAATGTTCTCTAAAAAAGTAAGTTTAGTAACATAATTTCTTTTAGTCCAGCTTTAAAATCATCCGAGTTTATTCATGTAGTGGGTGGAGAAGTTCTTTTCTGATTGGAAAGACTGCGAGTTCTCTTCATACAAAATCGGAAATGAGACAATAGCATCAGTCAAGATTGGGCACGAGCTTATGAAGCAGAGCATCTACCAAAACTCCCCTCTTGAGGTAAAAAAAAAAAGTCTAAAATCTCTTCTTACATACGCATAGATGGATGCACACAATTTCTCAGCCATAAATATGCATGTTGACATTAGTGTACTTCTGCTGAAGGATTATGAACTGGCGAGGATGTTGACAAGGAAAGGGTCATTCTTTCAAGATGATTTGGCCAAAAGGAACAACTTCACAGAGCAAGGATATGGTTCAGTGAAGAGAATCTACATCTATGGTGAAGAAGACTTGATCCTAACCAAAGAGTTTCAGTTGTGGCAGATCGAGAACTTTAAGCCAGACAAGGTCTACGCCATTGCTGGAGGAGACCATAAACTCATGTTCTGCAAAACAAAAGAGTTGCTCAACTGTCTCCTCCAAATTGCAGCAACTTATTAATAAGTCGAACGAATCTTCACGGATCCATCGATTGAGTATCCCTACAAATAAATGCTTTTGTGTAATATGCATGCATGCCCAAGCTGGTGGCTATATGGGATGCTAGTGGAACAAGGGTGGAAGAAGAAGGCAGATAGTTGGTAACATGTTGAAATGTTGTGTTGCAGCTGCCGGTTCTTTGGTTTGGTGCTTGCTTCTCTGTTTTCTTTCCTCCTTCCTTTCTCTTCTTCCCCTTCTTTCACCCCTTGTTCTACTCGGCGTTCACTGATTGTTAAGTCCTCTCTGGCTGCTTCTTTGCAATGTAAGACGTGTTGGCACGGCTACATGTGGTGGAGCAAGAGCCAGCAATTGACGGTGGTGATATTAAAAAAAAAAAAAATAATAATAACAAATATTAAAGGACAAAAAAAATGCAGTTGGGGAGGTGAGTTAGCAGATGGGAATTCAATTTCCTTCCCCTCTTCCCTGGCTATAAAATGCAGAGGCATTTGCCTCATTTCCATCATCCATCACCATTCCATCATTCTCCATTTCCTTTGTTCTACTTCTGTTCGTATTTCTTTTGTGGGTTTTTGTAGTGAAACGTTTTCACTACCACGGGTAGATAGGAGATTTCCTTGTGAGTGAAATAGTGAGGTTGTTTGGGAAACACCGTGTGTTCTATTTCTTGTATCGAGAAAATCTCTGTAACCTACCATTGTTATAGTAAAGAAATACTCCGGAGCTGTTGTTCCCGTGGACTGGCCCAAAATCAGGGTATACCACGTAAATCCTCGGTGTCATTTATTAATATCTATGCTTGTTGCTATTTTGAGAATAGTCGTAGTATATTGCATTATTAAATTACCGAAGTAAATTGATCTAAGTAAGTTGGTTACCGTAATTCTGGAGGCTCTGCCACCAGGTCCAACTTACCTGTGAACTTTTTACAAGCGTGTGATTTCTTAGTGCAATATATTTACCCGCTATTCTCACCCGCTGCGCCCAACAAGTAGTATCAGAGCCACGTCCAATGGAGGCAAAAACAAGCAAGATGATAAGTCTGAATGGCTCCAACTATCACATATGGAGAAACAAGATGAAGGATCTCCTACTCGTGACGGGGTTGCATTTGCCGGTGTTTAGCCCAACTAAACCTGATGGCAAAACTGAAGAGGAATGGGAGTTCAAACATGAGCAAGTATGTGGCTACATTCGACAGTTCGTCGACGATAATGTATACAACCACATTAGCAGAGAAACTCATGCCAGAACTCTATGGAACAAGCTGGTGGCACTCTATGCATCAAAGACCGACAACAACAAATTATTTTATCTGACGAAGTTGGTCCAGATGAAATACAAGGAAGGCAAATCCTTGGCGGATCACTTGAATGAAATTCAAGGGATCGTGGATCAGTTGTCCGGTATGGGCATAAAGATGGAAGATGAGGTGGTCGCTCTCCTCGTTCTGGCTTCCCTTCCAGAATCTTGGGAGACGCTAAAAATTTCATTTACCAACTCTGTGAAAGATGGAGTTATCAACATGGAGATCGTCAAAAGTGGGGTTCTGAATGAAGAGATGCGGAAAAGATCACAAGGTGCATCCTCATCATCTTCCCAGTCAGACCTTTTGGCGGTGGATTCCAGAAGCAGAGGAAGAAGTGAAGCGAGAGGCTCGAAGCAAAGAGGCAAGAGTCGAGGGAAGTCCAACAAGTTTGCCAATATCAATTGTCATCACTGCAAGGAAAAGGGCCACATCAGAAGATTTTGCCCAAAGTTCAGAAACGAGAGAAGGAAGGGCAAACGAGATGAGAACAGTGATGATGATGGTGCAAACTCTGTTGATGAGTTCAATATTGTCTACGAGGAAGATGTTGTCAACCTAACAACCCAGGAGACAAGCTGGGTGGTTGATAGTGGTGCTACCATCCACGTGACGTCCAAGAGAGAATTTTTCTCATCTTACACACTAGGTGACTTTGGTGTGGTAAGGATGGGAAATGGCAACCTTTCCAAAGGTATTGGAAAAGGAGAAGTATGCTTGGAGACGATGAATGGTACGAAGCTACTACTGAAGGATGTCAGGCATGTTCAAGAAATGCGCCTGAATCTCATCTCTGTAGACAAGTTGGATGAGGAAGGTTACTGTAACATCTTTCACAATGGCCAGTGGAAACTCACCAGAGGCTCCTTGGTGTTCGCCAAGGGCAAGAAGCTGTCAAAACTATATGTGACGGAAGCCAAGATCTCCCCAGAGATTGTCAACTAAGCGGAGAATGGTGACACAATTGAATTGTGGCACAAACGACTCGGTCACATGAGTGAGAAGTCCATGGCAAAGTTGGCCCAGAAGAAAGTCATAGTTGGGCTGGATCATGTTCATCTAAAGAAGTATGTCGATTGCCTTGCGGAAAAGCAAAACCGAGTTGCTTTCAAAAGTTCCATCCCTTCAAGAGCGAAGAACGTGTTGGATCTAGTTCACTCAGATCTCTGTGAACCCGATGTCAACGTCAAATCACTTGGAGGTGCCAGATATTTCCTGACGTTCATTGATGACCATTCACGGAAGACTTGGGTGTATACCTTGAAGACCAAGGATCAGGTCCTAGACGTTTTCAAGCAATTCCTGGCCCTGGTGGAGAGGGAAACTGGCAAGAAGCTGAAGTGTATCCGCACTGACGATGGTGGAGAGTACAGAGGTCCATTTGCTACCTTCTGCAAGGAACATGGAATTCGGCAGCAATTCACACCACCAAAGACGCCGCAAATGAATGGGCTAGCTGAAAGGATGAACATGACCCTGCTAGAGAGAGTCTGGTGCTTGTTATCACACTCGAAGCTACCACAATCTTTCTGGGGGGAGGCACTGCTTGCAGCAGTTTACGTGTGGAACACGTCACCCAGTGTGCCACTGAAGTATGACACCCCAGAGAAGGTGTGGACAGGAAAAGAAGTTTCCTACAAACATTTGCGGGTGTTTGGTTGCAAGGCCTTTGTCCATATTCCAAAGGATGAAAGGTCAAAGTTGAATTCAAAGACGCGACCGTGCGTATTCATTGGCTATGGTCAAAATGAGTTTGGCTATAGATTCTTTGATCCAATCCAGAAGAAGCTTATCAGAAGCCGTGATGCTGTGTTCATCGAGAATGAGACCATCGAAGATGTTGTTGCTAGGAAAGAAGTTCCTAGTACCGATGCTAGCCAACCAAACCTTGAGCTAGTGCCTCCAACACCAGCGCCTACAGAAGTTGGAGAAGAAGTACAACATGATCAACCTGAGATAGTTGAACCAGATGCCCATGTGGAGGTTCAACCAGAAGATGCTGATGACGATGGTCAACCGCCAGCCATAGAAGGTTCTCCTGTTCGAACAACAAGATCTGGTAGAATTTCACGACCATCTACCAAATATCCTGAGACTGAATACGTCTCACTTACTGACGGCGGAGAACCAGAAAGCTCCACAGAAGCTATGAATGATGAATACAAGCAAAGGTGGATAGAAGCCATGCAAGACGAGATGGATTCCTTGTATGAGAACAAGACATTTGAGCTGGTGAAATTGCCCAAAGGCAACAGAGCTTTGAAGAACAAGTGGGTGTTCAAGATCAAGCATGATGAACACAACTGTCAACCACGCTTCAAAGCCAGACTAGTCGTGAAAGGCTTCAGCCAAAGGAAAGGCATTGACTTTGACGATATATTTTCACCTGTGGTGAAAATGACATCCATTCGTACTGTGCTGGGACTAGCAGCAAGTCTTAACCTGGAGGTTGAGCAAATGGATGTGAAGACTGCCTTCCTTCATAGTGATTTGGAGGAAGAGATTTACATGGAGCAACCAGAAGGCTTCAAGAAGAAGAACAAGAAGGGCTATGTGTGCAGGCTCAGAAAGAGCTTGTATGGCTTAAAGCAGGCACCAAGGCAGTGGTACAAGAAGTTTGAGTCTGTTATGGGGAGCAAGGCTACAAGAAGACTACTTCAGACCACTGCGTGTTCGTGAAGAAATTTCCTGATGGAGATTTCATCATACTTTTGCTCTATGTGGATGATATGCTAATTGCTGGGCAGAACGTCTCAAAGATCAATGATTTGAAGAAGGAGTTGAGCAAGTCTTTTGCCATGAAAGACTTGGGACCAGCAAAACATATTCTTGGCGTGAGGATCATTCGAGATCGAGGTGCCAAGAAAATATGGTTGTCACAAGAGAAGTACATTGAGAAAGTACTTCAACGTTTCAACATGGATAATGCTAAGGCGGTTAGCTGTCCTCTTGCTAACCACTTTACATTGACATCCAAACAGAGCCCGTCTACTGAGAAGGAAAAGGTGGAGATGGATAAAATTCCATATGCTTCAGCAGTGGGAAGTTTGATGTACGCCATGGTGTGTACGAGGCCAGATATTGCTCATGCAGTTGGAGTTGTCAGTCGGTTTCTTTCCAAACCAGGAAAGGAACATTGGGAAGCTGTGAAGTGGATCCTCAGATACCTTCGAGGTAGCTCCAAAATGAGTCTATGTTTTGAAGATGGTGAACATGTCCTTGTTGGCTATACAGATGCTGACATGGCAAGTGATGTTGATTCGAGGAGGTCCACTTCTGGGTACCTGATTACCTTATCAGGGGGAGCAATATCGTGGCAGTCAAGGCTACAAAAGTGTGTAGCTCTTTCCACAACAGAAGCTGAGTATATAGCAGTAACGGAAGCATGCAAGGAGATGATATGGATGAAGAAGTTCATGAATGAACTTGGGTTCCTACAGGAACAACCGCAGCTGTTCTGTGACAGTCAGAGTGCTATTCATCTTGCGAAGAATGCATCATTTCATGCTCGATCAAAACATATTGATGTTCGATATCACTGGATACGAGATGTGCTTGAAATGAAGCAGTTACAACTAGAGAAGATCCATACTGAAAAAAATGGATCTGACATGTGTACCAAGACTCTTCCAAGAGAAAAGTTTGAGTTTTGTCGATCAGCTGCAGGGATGATGAAGTCGCCCATGTAGTCAGG